TTATTTTGGCAATATATTCTTATTGTATTATTGTGTTATTGTACTTATTAATAAAGTAATTATTTATTTATCCTTTTTTGTCAAAGAGTGAGAATATGACATCAGTTCATTTATTTACTGTACAGAATATACACAATAACACAATTCATTGTATCTATAGCTTGGGTTTTATTCAATAAATAAATACTGAAATTGATATTACAGCGCTAATAAATTAGGGCAATTTCGCTACAAGATATTTACATTTTGCTAATATAGTAAACAGACTTCCAAAATAAGTAGCAATAAAGCATACATCATTTATGACTTATGTCAATATTTGTTCCAGCCATTAATCGGTTAATATTTTCATTTAGTGGTTGATTGACGTTGGTTCACATTGCATTAAATAATATGAATAAACCTTATGATATTATAACCAATCTATTTGAGTTTCAAAATCAACAGAAGCGATAATACATAAAATTTATTTTACTTTTTCGAACAGAAATTTGATGGATTGCGTCAATCCATGTCGAATTTGACCTCATAGATAATTGTGTATTATGGTACACAATGTTTATTGATACCCTAACTAATTGATTGAGTGTAGTTAATTTTTCTTCATGCTATTTACTTTATAATTAAGTATTTGTAGAAGTGCTAATATTTCTCTATTACAACAATTACTGACAGCTTAGGAAAACTAAATTACCTATTAAATCAATCGGCAACACCCACACACAAGTTTGCATTAATATGAAATTTCACTGTATTTTGTATATGTAACGCTATTTCTTTTTAAATAAATATTTATCTAAACATTTTTGTAAAAATAAAAATTGTAATATTTTTTACAAATTTAACAAATTTATTAAGGCATGAAGAACCTACTTCATATGTTACTGTTCTAGGTTTCAATACACGTTCGTGTGACGTACATATACATATAAGAGCGTATATAATATATATAAGACGTATATAATAAGAGCATTGACGCAGCACTGTGTTCCCCCGTCGATGTTCCAATGACTGAGTTTTTCGATAAATAGACAATGCAGGCATGTGCATAAACAATGGGAGATAGAGTCCATTTACCACTTTTTACGTCTTTGTTCAGAGCTATACACTATACAATTTCAATATCTGGAAGATCGTTTTTTCTTTGACTTGACCTATGTAACGTAGATAAACTTAATGAATTTTCTCTTAAATAATTTATTTAAGTTAGCACACGAATTGTTTTGAAGTGGACATTACTAAGGTCAATAGCTTTCTCCAAGTGCAAATGTATGGTAACTCCACGTAACTAAACCATTTTAAGTGGAGATAACTTTATTCTTCAAATGGAAATATTTATATTGAAATTCGAGGGTTTTTCGCGATCTAACTTAAGACTAGTTTAATATTTAACATATTGATTAAATAAAGCTACTTTAAGAACATTTAAGAACATTCAGCATTCATAAACAGATCATTACTACTAGATTATTACAACCAATAGATTGTATAGATTGTATCTGACTTAAGTTCTAAAGGGATTCTGAAGATATATTTACTTAGAAATCAAACCTGGGACTTCAAGCTTTAGCAAACAATACTAGTTTAATATTTAACATATTGATTAAATAAAGCTACTTTAAGAACATTTAAGAACATTCAGCATTCATAAACAGATCATTACTACTATATTATTACAACCAATAGATTGTATAGATTGTATCTGACTTAAGTTCTAAAGGGATCTCGAAGATATATTTACTTAGAAATCAAAGCTGGGACTTCAAGCTTTAGTAAACAATACTTGTAAACAATTAATGGAATAATTATATTCTTCTATAATACAGTTTTGTTATAAAGCATACATTACCTACATATAAAAATATTCCAATGGTTATAAATGTTAAAACTTTTTGAAATAAATTTAAATATAATATAATTTGCTATGTTCAAGTATTAATAAAGTTACTATATGATTCATTTAAAATATACTATACTACATGAGTCTATATAAGCTCAAGATTAATGCTCATATTGCTCCGCTGAACTGATACAATTAAGGCCAATGAGTAATTAAATGTTAATAAACAAATTCTAGCAGTAGCAGATTATATTAATATTAATACTATATTACGCTGAACACTATAATAACAATTTTTATATATAAAAATCTAATAGCGATAAAATGATTGCTTAAGAAAATTATAAAAATAGAAAATTTTAAAATATCAAAATTCTAATTGAAAAGAACTCTTATAAATGATATCATAGCACAAAGAAATTACATGACTTAATTATTTATGAGAAGTAAAAAAATTTAAATAAAGCGCATTTGTTTAGCTTTGCATATATCAACAATGACGTAATTTGAAATAAATTCTAGAGAATTATCTCAATGAACAGACATACATATAAGATAAACTGTTTAAAAATTTTTTATTTTATGGCTACGAATAAATTTAACTTTGAACTTTTATGTAGTATAAACAGCTTCACACTACATTAAGTATTACTAATAAAAACGACTCACGTCTCTCAAGCTTAATACTTGTCGAAAATTATAAACCCTTAGTGATTTTATTACTAATATTTTCTGTAAATGCTGATTTATAATTAACCATCAAAAAAAAATATGTGATATGTTTATAAATATATCTGATACGCCAAAATACGCACGCTTCTTGAACTCGTGGCAAGAACATCTATTGAATTTATGGCATTTTAGTCGAAAAAACCATATGTAAAAATAAATTTATTTAACAATTAATAATATAATTAATTTTGTACTAAATTAAATAAATAAATTAAAACTTTTGTCAATTTGTGTGTAGACAAAAACGGCGCTATCAGCGATATGTCAAAAGGTTTTTATTAATTGGCGAATTCACTGGCTGCCATAAAGAGTCTAAAGACAATTGATGAAGCCGATAAACTTTAAATCGACAAATAAATTTCTACGGAAGTTACATACATATACATTACGTACATATATTCCTAATAAATAAACTAAAAAATTTTGCAAGTTGGCATTTTATAAAAGCTATTTGATACGTTAATATTGTCTAAAATAGTTGTACTAAAATAACTTTAAACGACTCATAACTTAGGACTAACACAAGAAGAGTATCAGGCTCGAATGTAAAGAGTGTAGGGTATTATTAGTACATAGGCATTCATAAATTATCACTAAAGACCAACAACAGACTTGTGTGGTGAAAGTGTAAGGTATGTGTGTGTTGAGTATACAATAACTTTTGCCTTATAATTAAGAAATATACAGGTTTATATGTGTAGAGTGTAGACTTTTTAGCTCTTATGCATGTATGAGTTTGAGGCACTTATAACTTATCACTAATGGAAGCAAAATTATAAATTTATGTGGTGAGAATGTAAGGTATATGAAGTCCCTAATAATTTCTTACTCATAATAGAAAAAATTAAATCTCTAGAGTGTAGAGATTTCAGCTCTTACGTTTTTATGACTTTGAGCTCCTTATAACTTATCACTAATGGAATAAATAGGTATAATAAATTTGTGTGGTGAGAATGAATGGTATATGAAGTACCTAATAACTTCTTA